ACTCATCACACCAAGAATATTTAAAATAGACTAAACACAAGAGTGTAACATCTTCACCTCAAGATCTGACTCACAAGTACCACACATTATTCACAATTCACTCACTTACTCTAACGTAGAGGTCAAGCATTACCTTTCCTTCATGAATCAATTTCCCTCACACAACAAAAGAGAGTAGTTCCACACACATAAAATTTTAGAGCAATTAGGAACTCAAGCTAGAAAGAATCCACTCACTCTCAGAAATAACATTCATATGCCACAAAAGTCGTACCATAGGCTTGCTCGTAGTGTACTACTCTATTAATCGAGCTTATTCAGTCTAGGATCAAGTAGGACTTTAATTGGTTGCAATGTAGGCTGCGGGACGGGTATGATACATTTGGATATAAGAGTGACTACACCTCTCTAAGCACTTTAATACATACACTTTACCTTTCAAACACCCACACTTAAGTCAAACCATAACTCCACCTTCATATTAATATGCAATAACTCCCTACTTCTTTTAGCTCAATTACATCAAGAATCGCCACTGATCGAGGAATATTTGCACAACAATACAACTATTTTTTTTCTTTTTATTCTTCAATTCAAGTGGCTCTTATTTTTTTCAAGACAATGCATATTTCATCAGTTCCACTCAAAAGCTAAACCAACCACCCCACACTTTAACTTTTACCAAGTTCATAACAATTCAAGTACTCGTGAGAGGTGAAAAGGTTCGAATAGATGGTTAATTCAAACAAATGGGTAAGGGAGGAAGGTACCAAATCGACTTCTAGTTGTAGCGGATCTTACTTACATCTGTTCTAGCGCTTTCTCTTGATTCTATTTTTGAAACGTCTAGTTAGATCGGGAATCATTCAAATTAAGAACAAAAGTTCGTTGCTTTTTCTTTCCCTATAATTTAATTGAAGCCGCAGCCCTATCCATTTATTCATTCGACTTAGGGAATAGAATAGGGGAATCTAAATATACAACTATCTTATATACGATCTAGAGTGATAGCAAAAATGTTACGATGATATTAAAGAGTAAGGGGAAGAAGATCTAAAAAAAAAGATCTTTTTCCTAAAATTTCCCTTTCCTTCACTTAATATCATCAATCTTTCTGACTTGCTCCTACGAAACCAAGGTCGAAAAGATCGAAAAAATCAGTCATTCACAACCACTGATGAAGGATTCCTCGAAAAGTTAAGGATTAGTGATGTGGTTGCCAAAAAAACAGGATTACAGGCGCGAAGGGTTAACTACGATACATAACATTTAGGCGGGTAAATATATATATATATATATATATATATATATATATATATATATAATATAATATATATATATATACTATATATATATATATCTGGCTCAACAATAAAACGCCTATATCACTTCCAAGACTGAACAAAACTACTATTTCGCTTTGCAAACACACGGGGCAAGTTCTAAACATCAAATGCAATGCTCAGAATAACACACAAATCTCACACACACATGGCACATAACTCACTCAGGATTGGACTCATCAAGACACTCTAGTCAAAGCAGTTAAGCAAATTTAAGATCATACAATTTAAAGGTACTTATAAGAGAGTCAAAAACTGAGCCTAAGCATCACAACCAAAGTACTCACTATTCTCAAGGCATAACAAAGTCAAGAGATATTGCTTCAATTCCAATCACAGCACAATGGCTCCTACTCCTAAAAAAAATAAAACTAACTACACCCGGTTCAAATAAAACCCTTGAAAAACAATCGCGGAACAAAGAAAAACCAAGGGTTAATTACTCCACTACCTACAAAGAAAATCTTTTTTTGTCCTTTTTCTTTCGACTTAAATCCCTTAAGAAAACTGTCTAGGAGATCCATCGTCGGGAAAAGTCCAATTTTTCTACTTTTGTTTTCTTAGGAGCTACTAAAATACTACACAACTACGAAAACAGAAATAAGAAGCTAATATTTTTCTAACATACTACTACTAATTATCTAGAGGAATTCTTCCACCCTACACTTAAAGGAGTGTAGTGTCCCCAATGCACAAATAAAGCAAAACAATAACGAGGGTGCACAAGAAACTCCCTGAAAGGCCAAAACTCGAAGCAATAGCAGCTCACGGGTACTCAAACTTCCCCCAGGCATGGTCCTTTGTGTGGGCACCCCACCCTTAGTTCTCACCATCTAGCTCGTTTTTGCACTCTTCCAATGGCTTTGCTTCCTGTGCATATAATCCTACAAAATAAAAAAAATAAAAAAAAAACACTACAAAAATAATACAATAAAAATAAAAGAAAGTAGTAAAGCTGGATTGTCTTCCAACAAGCGCCTGATTTAACGTCGCGGCATGACACAGAATCTCGTCTAATCATTAGCAAGTAACACCTTCGACTTCTGACGATCGAAGTCACCTCTATAATAGTGCTTTACTCTTTGTCCATTCACTAAGAACGTTCTCTTTCCATCTACGACGCGCAGCTCAATTGCACAATATGGAGTGAGTCTCACTACCTCAAACGGGCTCGACCATCTCGATTTGAGCTTCCCCGAAAAGAGTCTCAACCTCGAATTGAACAAGAGAACCAATTGGCCCGGTTCGAACTCGCGATGGTGGATATGCTTATCATGCCAGCGCTTGGTATTTTCTTTATATAACTTGGCATTCTCATACGCGTGCAAGCGAAACTCATCAAACTCGTTCAATTACATCAACTGTTTTTTACCCGCTAATTCTGCATCAAAGTTCATCTTCTTTATCGCTCAATAGGCCTTGTGCTCAAGTTCCACCGGTAAATGGCATGCCTTCCCATAAACCAGCTTGTAAGGGGAGGTTCCGATTGGAATTTTGTAGGCAGTCCGGTATGCCCATAGAGCATCATCAAGCATTGCAGCCCAATCCTTCCTACTTGCACTGACCGTCTTCTCCAGAATCTGCTTTATCTCTCCGTTTGACATTTCAACTGGTCCACTAGTCTGAGGATGGTAATCGGTCTCAACCTTATGTTTGACCCCGTATTTCGCTAAGACATTGTCCAATAGCTTGTTACAGAAATGGGTGCCCCCATCACTTATCATCACTCTCGGAGTGTCGAACCTTGTAAAGATATGCTTTTTCACAAAGTTGACCACAACCTTGGCATCATTGGTAAGAAGAGCAATGGCCTCCACCCACTTCGACACATAGTAAAGAGCCACTAAAATGTACTTATACCCACTGGACGAGGGAAACGGACCCATAAAATCAATTCCCCACACATCAAAAATTTCAACCTCCATAATACCATGCAATGGCATCTCATGCCTCTTCGTAATTGTTTCTGTTCTCTGGCACCGATCACACCTCCTCACGAACTCATGGGAATCTTTTAAACAACCTAGGCCAATAGAAACCTGATTGCAACACCTTTGCTACCATTTTGTCACCCGCATGATGACCACTATAAGGCGACGCATGACAGTCATTTAAGATAGCATTTATTTCAGATTCGGGCACACATCTTCTCATTAACTGATCGGTACAAGATTTTGAATAGAAATGGCTCATCCCACACATATGATCTCACATCTCGCAAGAACTTCTTTTTAGCATGAGGTTCAAGATCAGGCGGCATTTCTCCACTTGCTAGATAGTTTACAAAATCTGTATACCATGGCACCTACCCAGTAGTAATGGCCAAAAATTGCTCATCCGGGAAGGTTTCCTTGATGACATCTCCCTCAGCTACATGATTCCGAGTTTCTAACCTGGACAAGTGATAATCCACTTGATTCTCTGTTCCTTTACGTTCTTGGATCTCCAAGTCAAATTCCTGCAAGAGTAAAACCCAACGGATTAGCCTTGGTTTAGCATCTTTCTTTTTCGAACAAATACCTGATGCCCAGATGGTCTATGTAGACGATGACTTTGGTGCCAACCAAATAGGCTCAAAATTTATCGAACGCCCACACTACAGCAAGCAACTCCTTTTATGTCACAGTATAATTTATTTGAGCACGAGTGAGAGTATTACTTGCGTAGTAAATGGAGTGAAATATTTTGCTCCTCTTCTGGCCCAATACGGCCCCAATTGCACCATCACTAGCGTCACACATCATCTCAAATGGCTTGTTCCAGTAAGGAGCTAGTATGATTGGTGTACTCACTAACTTCTTGTTCAGGTCCTCGAATGCTTTCAGACAAGCATCGTCCAACTTGAACGGCACATCCTTCTCTAATAAAGTTCACAAAGGAGAGGAAATTTTTGAGAAATAAATCGGCAATAAAAACCTGCATGTCCCAGAAAACTCCTAACTCCTTTCACTGAAATCGGTGGTGGCAACTTTTCAATTGCTTCTACCTTAGCCTTGTCAACTTCCAATCCATCTTTGGACACCTTTTGTCCTAGTACTATACCTTCACGTACCAGAAAATGACACTTTTCCCAATTCTGTACCAAATTAGTCTCCTCACACCTAGCAAGCACTTTAGCAAGATTGGTCCAGCATTCATCAAAAGAAGGACCAAACACAGAAAAATCATCCATAAAGACCTCCACAAACTTCCACCATATCGGTGAAAATAGCCATCATATACCTTTGAAAAGTCGCATGTGCATTACACAACCTGAATGGTGTTCTCTTAAATGCATAAGTGCCATAAGGGCATATAAAGATGGTCTTTTCTTGATCTTCCGGGGTAATAGCAATCTGATTATACCCCGAATAGCCATCAAGGAAATAATAGTATTCCTATCCGGCTAACCTGTCAAGCATTTGATCAATGAATGGAGGAGGGAAGTGATCTTTTCATGTAGCATTATTCAACTTCCTATAATCTATGCATATTCGTCAACCAGTCACAGTCCTAATTGGGATTTATTCATTTTGTTCATTTACTACAACAGTCATACCCCTTTTTTAGGTACACATTGAACAGGGCTTACCCACTTACTATCAGAGATAGGAAATACTATACTTGCATCGAGCCACTTGATCACTTTTTTTCTTATCACCTCTTTCATGATTGGATTTAGGCGGCGTTGATGTTCCACGCTAGGCTTGTGTCCCTCCCCCATGAGTATTTTATGCATGCAGAACGCAGGGCAATACCCTTTATGTCAGACATTGTCCAACCAATGGCATGCTTGTGATTTCTCAGCACCCTTAATAGCTTTTCTTCCTGCAAGTTAGATAAATGAGAAGAAACAATCACAGGTAAAGTGTTAGAACTTCCCAAATATGCATAATGAAGATGAGATGGTAAGGGTTTAAGTTCTAGTTTTGGGGCCTCCTCAACTGGGGGTTTAGGGGGCGGGCCGATTGGCCTATCTAGAGGCTCAAATTGGGATCTTTCTCTTATGTATTTGGAAGATGCATCCAGAATTTGCAACATCTCCTCAACCTCTTCTTCAAGTTCCAAGTGATTGAACAACATCAATGCCTTTTCTAGTGCATCTTTATTAAACGCACTTGGCTCTACAGTTGGTTCATTTATCTCCACCACGAAAATGGCCAGGTCCTCGTAATGACAAGGTAAATGAATGTCTCAATATACATTAAAGACTGCTTCTTTATTGTCCATCCTCATGATCATCTTACCTTCTTGAACTTTGATAATTGCATCTCCAGTGGCCAAGAAAGGTCGTCCCAAGATGATAGGAACTAACTCATTAGCCTCGTAGTCCAGGATGATAAAACCTGCAGGGAAAATAAACTTCCCAATCTGCAGCAAGACGTCCTCAATTAACCCCTCAGGATAAACATAAGATCTTTCAGCTAACTATAGCATCACCGTGGTGGGTCTCGGAGCTCCTAAGCCCAATTGTTTGAACACTGACAATGGCATCAGATTGATACTTGCACCCAAATCATACAAGGCTCTACCCACATCAATTTTACTAATCCTCACGGGGATGGTAAAACTACCCGGATCCTTAAGCTTTTGTGGAAGCTTATGTTGAATCCTGGAAGTGCACTCCTCAGTAAGTGCGACTGTCTTAAACTCACTTAACCTCCTTTTATTTGCCACTATATCCTTAATATATTTTGCATATCTTGGGACATCACGGAGCATGTCCACTAAAGGGATGTTCAAGTGTATCTACTTTAGCAAATCTAGAAATTTGTGAAACATGTGGTCATCATTCTTCTTTCTCAATCTTTGAGGAAAAGGGGGGGCACCCTCTTTGATATATGCTCAGACTCTATTTTGTTTCTCTCATCTACCTCTACAGGTTTTGGCACTCTTTCTTCTTCGAGCCCAGACGGCTCCTTTTTCTTATTAGGCACTTCTACCAACTCTCTCCCATTTCTCAATGTCATTGTGTTGACTTGAGGATTTTTCTCTGTATCACCTGGGAGAGCCCCAGTAGGTCTAATATTCTGATTGTTAGCCATTTGCTCAAACTGACTCTCTAGATTTCTGAACTCTGTGCGCAATGGTGATTCTCAGCCCTAACTTGTTGAGTCTCAGCCATTACTTTTTGATTGTCTATCAAGAGATTTTTCATCATGTCAGTCAAACTCTCTTCTACTTGCTGTGGGTATTTAGGTGGCTGATTGTAATTAGCTTGAGGCCTGTTGTTCTGATTTTCACCCCAAGCGAAGTTAGGATGATTCCTCTAGTTCGAATTGTATATGTTACCATATTGAGCATTTTGATTCATCGGCCCTCTAGCTTGTTGCCCCACATAGTAGACGGATTCCGGATTCACGGGGTGTATGTCACTTGTGTGACCTTCACCACATAACTCGCAGCAAGTAGACATCTGTTGCACATGTTGCATCTGTTGTGATTGGTGCATTGTCATTTTATTCATCTGATTTGCTAATCTCGCTATATCTGCCCTCATGTCTGAGAAATCATCAAGCTCAATCACACCTGCTGCCTTTTGTTTAAGTGCTCTTCGTGGTTCCCCATCTCCTTGCCAATTATTATCATTAGCAATGAAATTGTTTAGCAGGATCTGGATTTCACTATACGGTCAATGCAACTACCCCTACATGCTGAGTCAAGATTCATCTTTGATGTCTCGTCCAACCCATCAACGAAAGTGTGACCCAACACCTCATTAGTCTGACAATGATGTGGGCAGTCTCTGAGTAGCTTCTTGTATCTTTCTCAATCTTGACGAAGAGTCTCGCCATCTCGTTGTTGAAACCCAAGAATCTGGCTCATCAACGACTTTGTCTTCCTAGTGGGAAAAAACTTTATTAAGAATTTCCTTGCTAGATCATCCCAAGTGTGGATTGAGTTCGCGGGCTCCTTTTACAACCATTCCTTAGCTTCCCCCAGCAGTGAAAGGGGAAAGAATGTCAGCCTGACATAGTCCTTGGAAACGTTCGGATAATTGTAAGTGTCCGCAATTTCCAGGAAGTTTTGATAGTTGCCTCTGCGGGTCTTCATGAGATAGACCCACATATTACCCTGTGGACTGAATCAGCTGTACCATGTACTGTTTGAGTTCAAAGAGACCCGTGATATCAGGCTTCACAATAGCCTGAGTCATATTCGCAAGATTGGGCCTTGCAGCTTCTATCACTTGACGCTCTGCAATACCTGTCATCTCTATTGGTTGTTGTTGGACTATGATGTCCAACTCTCTTTCTATTCTAGTTCTAGCTTCGACTTCTCTCCTCACTCGGTGAATTATTCGTTCGATTTCAGGATCAAGAGGAAGGAGATTGTTTGCGCTTCTACTCCTCCGCATTCAAGAGAAGAGCATGCATTATCACAAATAAATCAAACTAAAAATTAAAACTTGAACAAATAATGAATAAAAGCTTAACTTAAATAAACAACCAATAACTAAGTCCCCGGCAACGGCGCCAAAAACTTGTTGGTTCCCCAAGTACACGCAAGTATACATGGCCATCAAGTAATAAAGTGACTCGAAAGTCGGATGTCGAATCCACAGAGACTTAGATCAATCGTTAAATAAGCAAACTAAAATCAGTTAATTGTCCAATATAATTGAGAGTGATGTTTTTCTATTAATCTACTATTGTGGATTAAACAAGTTACAACTCATTTATCAAGAATGCAAATGTGTATGATGAGATTTTAATTCAGACGAGATGAAAATTCCAGGGTTGTGGTTAGCTTATCAATCCAATTAAGTTAAATAATCACACTCGTTAATCCAAATTATCTATGGTTGCTAAGTAACCGGATCGTTTATATGAATAGCATGTTCCCACAATACTACTCGTCTGTCCACAATATATCAATCCTATTATCCTATGGTATTGAGTCTATCATGAACGAATATAATATGGTATTAAACTAAGCAAGACTGTTAGGTAATTCCTATCCTAACCACGAAATCTTTTCCCGAGCCACAGGTTCAAAAGCAAGCTATCAAACATAGCATAGATAGCAAGGTGATTGGTATCTACAACAATTCACAAGTTAAAACTAGAATTAAATAAACAATCATAAGATGATAATCCAAATTAACGGAGATGTAATTAATAAACATTAATAATTATGTCAACCACAACCCTAGAAACTAGAGTGCTTAGCCACTCATGTTCGTAGTAACAATTTTCCAAGTATTTTGCATAAATAAATTACAAAGAAACGATGAAGGATTGAAGAACTCGATGATTTTCTTCTCCAAAGGTTGTTCCACGTGATGTTCTTGCCTGCCAGAATGGTTTGTTCACCCCTTAGGTCTAAAGTATTTCAAAAGTCCCAAAAATAATATTTTTACATGTATTTATACCAAGTAGGGTCGGGCCAAGACGAAACCACCTTCTCCTAGCCGAAATTTGATTATTACTCTGTAAACATTGCACATGCGCGCCGCATGGGGCGACGCGCCACGCGGTGTGGTAGTGGGACTTATCAGAGAGCGTGCAAAAAATGACAGCAGCAGGAAATGGCCAGCCGCGGCTGTGGGTTTTTCTCAGAGCCAGCCTTTTTCTTGTGTTTTTGATATCTATGGTATTGAGTCTAGCATGAACGAATATAACACGGTATTCAACTAAGCAAGATTGTTAGGTATATTTCTATCCTAACTGCGAAATCTTTCCCCGAGCCACGGGTTCAGAAACAAACTCTCTTTAATTCTACTCTAATCTAAACACAACATTCCCAAGCATAGCATAGATAGCAGGGTGAATTGGTAGCTACAATAATTCACAAGTTAAAATTGGAATCAAAGAAACAACCATAAGATGATAATCCGAATTAACGGAGATGTAATTAATAAACGTTAATAATCATGTCAACCACAACCCTAGAAACTAGAGCGCTTAGCCACTCATGTTCTAGTAACAATTTTTCAAGTTTTTTGCATAAACAAATTACAAGAAACGATGAAGGATTGAAGAACTCGATGACTTTCTCCTCCAAAAGTTGTTCCACGTGATGTTCTTGCCTCCCAAAATGGCTTGTTCTCCCCTTAGGTCTAAAGTATGTCAAAACTCCCACAAATAACGTTTTAACATGTATTTATACCAAGTAGGGTCGGGCCCAGGCGAAACTACCTTCTCCTAGCCGAAATTGGATTATTACTCTGTAAAAATTGCACAGGCGCCGCATTGGGCGACGCGCCACGCGGTGTGATAGTGGGACTTATCAGAGAGCGTGCAAAATTGACAGCAGTAAAAAATGGGTAGCCGCGGCGCGCCACGTGCCGCCCCACGCGTCGCGGCTGTAGGTTTTTCTCAGAGCTAGCCTTTTTCTTGTGTTTTTGATATCCAGACGTGGTTTTCGACCCCCGAACACGATCCCGGCTTAATCCCTTGGGCTTTTACTCAGACTTCAAAGTTCCAAATAACTCGAATTCAGTCCATAACATCTACATAGCTTGGAATCACTCCTACAAGGCATAAAACACATAATTAGTGCAAAACACTAGCGATTAAAGCTCAAACTCAATTAAAGTGCCGTAAATTAGAGTGCAATAAGCGACTAAAATACGTAATTATAGCCTACCATCACTAGCTCTGCCCCTGCTCCTAGTCCTCCCACCCTTGAAATAAAAATTATAGTTCACTGACTTGACAAAATGACTAAACGAGCATTCTCCTTAATTAAATTCAATTACTTAGTAAATGTGTTAAAATTAAAAAGGCAATAATGCTAAAAATCATTTTTTTTAAAGTTACTTAAACAATAAAATGGTCGCCAACAATGCTTACTTCCAATAGTTAAGTTGAGGAGCTATGACTAAAGGTTTCAAGGTCAAATCTTGCTGCATACGACTGATGTTTAGTGTTTCTATGAACTTAAAATCTTTGTTGGCCAGACTATCCAAAATGTTATCGTATTCATATCGAATCCTCCAAAAATATACTATGTTGGAGGATCCGACACGAATACGAAAATATTTTCAGAGAGTCCGAGCAACATCGCTTAAAATGGCTCTTGGCTGATAAAATATGTCTTCCTAAGTTTTACTAGTTGCAGTAAACCCGAGTCTATCGTAGGAGATAGAAAACGATTATCACCATAATTACAATAAATATTTAGCATCATTTTTTGACAGACTTTTGCAATCCTTCTGCTCATCTGAGAAGGAACCAAGAAGCACATCAAAAGAAATGGCGATTACCTAAAGACTCAGTAATGAATAATTGGAAAAATAGATAACCTCTCACCACCTGCATTAATTTGCAGATTTAATCATTTCCTAGTTAAGTTACAGAAACCAAGAACATTGAAAAGTTACAAAGAAAAATGAAAGGAAAAAAAAAAGGGGGGGGGGGTGGGGGGGGGACACTCAGCTTAATTACACTTGCAATTTGGAAAAATGTGGGGCTAAGCTGGATTTCTGTTGATTTACATCGACCAATGCACCGTCTATGTGAGCTTGCTCACATTACAACAACAACAACAACAACCCAGTAGAATCCCACCCAGTGGGATCTGGGGAGGGTAATGTGTACGCAGACCTTACCCCTATGTGAGCTTGCTCACATTGCCGGCCTCAATCTGTTTGGTTTTCAGGCGTAGCAGTTGCTGTTGTAATGCAGTAAGATAGATTTCCAGGTTGATATCTACACCTCCTTCATCAATCAATGAAGGTGGAAATTTAACAGTCAGATCGAAGGAAACTCTCGTATGTTGTTCCGCTCAATGTCTTGTTCACATCATCCCAATTCTTGATATGCTCCCGTAAAGGTCCACTATGTATCTTAACTTGACGGCTACTTAAATTCATTTGCGGCAATTTTAGAAAATCTAGTACATCTCCCAGTTTCTGCAATAAATCCAGAAAACAATGAGCAACAGAAAGGTTACTTTCTCGTATGGTTACCGAACTTTATCTACTATAATAGTAAAGTAATAAAACTACTTTTTAACACATTAAAGTAAACTTTACGTAAAGACACAATACTATTTTTTGCCGCATTAAAGTAACTGAATTTTATCCACTATATTAGTAAAGTCACTAAACTTTACCCGTAATAACAACTAGACCTACCCCTCAAGGTGACTCTTCTATTACAGTGGGCAAAGTTTTGTCACTTTACAATTAAAATAGTTTTGTGACTTCACTGTTATAGAGTAAACACCAGTTACTTTAATATGACAAAAAGTATTTCAGTGTCTTCAATGTTATAGTGAAAAAAGGTTAGTGAATATATGCGAAATTAAGAAACTTGACTAGATATAGTTGAAATGAGAAACTATCAGCACTTCTTGGATTTTTAATGCAACGATGCATGACAAGGTAATTATAACTTCAGAAACGTGTTTTCTTACAGTCTGATTTCTGATAAGATCTTCGTAATATAGAGTTAGGTGCCGAGTGCTATTGAAGTACTCCAATGCCTCAGTGGCTGCCACTTCCATTTTCTTCAAATCTGTGATCAGTAATGTTGTATTGATTTCTGGTTTATACTTCGCGAGAGTAGAAGCCTAGGAGAAGCAGCAAAATGATCAGATTCTATTAACTTTATGTCCGTGTATATTATGGGGAGGGAGGGATTTAAGAAAATACCTCTTCATGTGAGTGCACATGAGACTTGTGTGTTCCGTTCAAGAGTTTGGCGTATCGATCATAGGAATTTGCAATCATGGAAACCATACGACGCAGCAGATTCCTTCTAAAAAGAAATATCACGGAAACGCCTTCGTTGTTGAAGTACTCAACAATCTCCTTATGGTGTTGGATCAGCCCCTGCATTTGCCACAATTAACCAAGTCAATTTTCCAGAATAAAACAATAGTTTCAAGCGTCTCCACTAGCAAAACAATGAGGTCATTGTACAAAATGAGAACCCTCTTTTATCTGCTGAAGACGAGCAATATCACAATATTCTGCTAGATTTGACTGGCGCAAAAAATGCTGCTAATAAATGAAGTGTTAAACAATTACAAATGCTATCCTTTTCAGACTTTCCTCTATTTGAACAAGTGCTATTAGTATACGAAGTGGTTTTGAAACGAGACTAGTTCGACCATACAGACTTCCTCTTTTATGTGACACATCGTTGTGTGGATAAATTCGCTAACTGATTTGATAAGATCCAAATTTGCTCAATCTGAGTAAAACATTGAAAGACCCAAGTTTGATGCATGATCTACTTTTAGAAAATATCACCCATAGCAAAAATTTATTTTGATAATATTACAAACCTGAGTGGATCTCCGAGAGAAATTTATTTCTATGCAATGAAGTCTGGAAGGCTAAAGGTATTCAAGCACAACAAAATCTGGTTCGGAGAGAAACTTTTCTAAAGGTATTTTGATAATATTTTAGGTTTTTTGAATTTTAAATTATGTGGATTTTTTGTCCTAATTGGCTATTTAAAGCCTTGTTATGCTTAATAAAATAATTTGAGAGACATTTTCAATCAATACTTTTAATCTTTTTGCTGCCCCATCTATTAAAAAACCAACACATCTCAACTCAAGCAGCGCAATCTTAAGCTAGGTATACGTCTCACATGGCACATAGTAGGATGCAGAGTGCCTAGCAATCTGAAACAACTGTGACACCCCCCCACCCCCCACCCACCCCCCTGGCATGGCACATAGTAGTTTGAGAAGATTTTTGAAAAGTTGGAGCACACTGTCCCCCCTTCCACAACATTTTTATCCTGCCTACATCTCAGCGAAACTTTAGTTTAAAATATGTAAATTAACGAAAATATTTTACCTGATTAAGCATCCACTTGAAGCCTACTGCAGCTGAACAGTGATTCTTGGAAGCACTGGTAAACAAGTCCAAATTGTAAACACTGTCCAATGTCCTCAAGATGGAGGAGGAATTTTCTCTCCGCCCTTTGACGGAGAAAATTTCACCATTGGAGCTTATATTAATATGACTATTTAATAGTGTCTCAAACCATCCACTCCCAGACCTCTGCGTTGACAGAACAGCAAACAGCCGTACAGGATTACAGCCACATTCAGCCCTGCAATAGATGGCCAAACGAGATGAAATGAGTATAAGACAACTTTGTAAAAGACTGAGCTAAATAACTCAAATACCTACCTGTTAAAGGTTTTCGGTTTAGGATAATGCAAGTATGGAATCTGGGATCGGTCCGTGTCATATTCATGACACGGTCTTTCTACAACTTCAATGTTCACGAATTTGCTCGTTGTCTCGGTGTTAGTTTGCTTAAGACAGGTTGAACAGATATAAACACCGCAAACCATTGCAAACACTACAACAATCATCCTCAACAATGCTGGAGATTTCTTGGGAGGTTTTATGATAAGAGCATCCTGGCATTAAAATAAAAGGACAGATGTCAATGAACTGATTAACGCAAAACCAGAAAATAAAATTGCAACATGAATTGACCTCAAATCACAGCCTTAGTAATGAACTCGTTTCTTGGGCGATTAATCTTAAACATCTTGAGTAAATGCTAGTTGACTAAACAAATAGAGAAATCAACTCATACAAAAGGCAAGTGAAAAGAAACTAATTACTGTTATTAAAGAACCACCTGCTATTATTGATATAAAGCAGAAAACTCAATCTAGTTAGTCTATTAAAATTTGGATTTAAGTTACATACAATTTTTGTAATAGGTTACTTATCATTTTTATTAGTTTATTAATCAAAGGTAGAAATTTGTCTCTAATAACTTATATGTGACCTGATCGTGTAAATATTTTTGCACTATTAGTGCATAGGAATTAAACTCAAAAATTTACCTTCAGGAAGTCATGAACCACATTCTCAAGTAGTGGAAGATGTATAGTTAGTTTCTTTAAGAGGTTAATTAATACTAGTAAAGGCACGTTTAGCCATAAAAAAGATTTACTTTTTTTTGAAATCAGTATTTGGCCGTGAAAATTCCAAATCTAACTTGAAGTTTGAATTCAGAAATTTTTTGAATTTCAAAAAAACTCCAAAAAACTTATTTCAAAATTTTCTCCCCAAATCTCTCACAAAAATTTAAAAACAACTCCAATTCTTATTCATGTCCAATCACAACTCCCATTTCCAAAATTCCATTTTCAACTTGAAATTTTTTTCACTTTTTCTGGAATTTCATAATTCTTATGTCGAAACGCCCACTTAGACATTGGAATTGTAAAATTCCAAAAAAAAGTGAAAAAAAAAAATTTCAAGTGAAAATGGTATTTGAAAATTAGAGTTGTGTTTGGCCATGAATATAATTTTGGGTTGTTTTTGGAATTTTATGAGTGATCTGACTGGAAATTTTGAAAAACAGCTTTTTGAAGTTTTTCAAATTATCGAAAAATTACAAAATGCATCTTCAAGTATAAAATTAAAAATTTTATGACCAAACGCTGATTTCGAAAAAAAGTGAAAAATTTCTTATGTCCAAACGGGCTCAGCTGAAGTATTGCTTCCTCACAACAACCCTATGAACAAACAGGGAAAAAGTGAAAAAACTTTTTCCACTCAGTTTAATAAAGACCCAAAAAATTATTTTAGCTCACAAATGTCTGCAGCTGCCTCTACTAATATGTTTGTACAAAAAAAGAAAAATCAAAACCCCAGATCAATGAGTACAAAATAGAGTTAAAATTTGTCATGAAATACATCTGAGACACCTTTAAACCACCATAAATATACAATCTGGACAAATCCCAGTTTCCCAGAAAACCAATTAGAGGAAGGGAAGGAGAGTCCAGCTTCAACAAGATCGCAAATGTACCAAGAAGAAATATTTAGCAGGATCTCTTAAAGAATATACTCAGCAAAAAGCAAAGCACAAAAAACAGAAAGGAAAAAGGAAACCATTGTCCATTAATTAAAAAGAGGAACTTGAAGGGAAAAAAAACAAACAAACCTTTGTAAAGAAACAGATTTCTTCAGCCATTGTACTTGAGCCAAAATCAAAAGGGAAAATGTTGAGAAAGAAGAAGGAAAGTGGAGAAAGAGGTGGAAGCTATTGAATTAGCAGTCTTTTGTGCTAGTCTATTTTTCAGAAGAAGGAGAAATAGTGGGAAATGTGGCCCTATAGGAGGAGCTTTTAGATACGAATATTTGATTGAATGAATAGTACAAGTGTTTTGGATATATCAGGTTGTCGTCTTACTTTTTAATGCAGGAATCTAAGATAGAGCCATTATAATTTAATGTGAGATTTTGTCCAACTCAGACCACCACCTATATGGACAGTATTTAGGTAATTCTATTTGAATTTGTCTCACCATAATTACAAAATAAAGATGGTTATACCATAAAAAGGAAAGTCTTTAATATAAAATTGAAATTGAATTGTTTTACTATGAATTTCATTTTTAAAAAAAATTGCGAGATTTACGGCTGAAAATCAATATTTCTCTTGAAATACACTTTCAAACCAGTATTTCAATGTTTAAACTAGTACTATTTGGTTTCAACTCTTAAAATGTACTCCATTAAGCGCTACTTTTCCCCTCATTTCCTATTATAATTTCTAAATTTTGTTCTAAACCACGTAGGATATAGGGGAAAAAAGCATTGTAATCATTTTTCTTTTTTCTTTTTGCCTTTTTTTAAGTTGTGAAATGCTGGCAAAGAAATGAGCTTGTTAATAGGAAAAAAGTAAAGAAAAAGAGATGGTTTGAACTTTTACACTATTAAAATAGAGAAATTAGGGACGGATAAGTTCTGTAGCTAAACAAAAAGATTCACCGTGTAATAAATTATTTTTATTTATTCATGTCAATACGTGAATTTATTTATAGGAATAAACAAATAAATAAATTTTTTAGCTAAAGAGAAAATAGAAATTTGTTCTGTATTGATGTATTAGACTATCCTAATTTTCTAAACAAGAATTAAACCGAGAAGTATTTGGTTCTAAACTAATTAAATAAAGAATATAAATAATGAACTTTTAACAAGGAGAAAGAGCAGATATTTGTGATATCAATGTAATGAAAACGATCTAGGGTTATGGGCTATCTAACATTCCTATTGTATTCTTCAATTGAATTGACTAACTAATTTATCTAGTTTATTGGTTGACAGGGTTAATATTGCTTGTAGCCTTCTCCCGAAGTACCACTCGCCTATTCAAGCTAACCTAACGCCTATATTCCTATGGAATTAGGATTAACAAGAACGCATTTACAATTCCCGTATAGTAACCAAGCAAGGCGATTAGCTATATTCCTATCCTAACCGCAAATCCGCTCACCCTAAGAGTTAAGATCTTGCTCTACTCAATCTTATATGCAATCTAGAATTTCCTCTCCCGAGTTCAATCCTAAATTCGTAGATAGTATTCAATTGGTGATCAAGCAATCAAATAATTAAACGCAAGATTGAATAAATAAACCAATATGATAAACTAAGAAATCAAAATCAATATCCGAATAACAATAGTCATGAAAGAACCACAACCCTAGAATGTGAAGTTTAGCTCCACATAGACATGGTAGCAAAACAACAAATCATACAAAGAAACATAAAAAGACTAAGTTGGTGGAAGAAAAGATGAAACCCGGCCTCCACGGCGGCTCTGTGCTCTTCCTTGGTCAAAAACTGCTCTCAAAAACGTTCTCCTATGTATATATACCAAGTAGGGTTGGGCCCAAACAATTATACCTTCTCCCATGTGAAAAAGGACACTTTTTACGGGTGGGACGCGCGACTTCGCGCGCCCTTCGCGCACTCTTCGCGCACCTTTCTGCCTCGGCTTGTAATACGCGCGAACTATGCGCGACTTCGCGCATTCTTCGTGCGTCTGCTCGTTTTTTACCCTGTTCCGTTCTGAATTTGGAAAAACGCCAAACATGAAAGTTGTAGCCCTTTGAGTTATCTTTCCAACCATATATTGTGGATCCCAAATGGATTTTTGAGCGAAAAGTTATGTGTATTTTACTAGACAGTGCGCAATCTGCCTACTGGAGTCTTCGTTTGCTCTAACTATCATCCGTTGACCCCCAAAAACGATCCCGGCTTAATTCCTTGAACTTTTACTCAAACTTTAAAGCTCCAAATCACTTGAATTCATTCCATAACATGTACATAGCTCGGAATCACTCCTACAAGGCATAAAACACATAGTTAGTGCAGGACACTAGCGATTAAAGCGCAAACTCAATCAAAGTGCAGTAAATTAGAGTGTAATAAGCGACTAAAATACACAATTATAGCCTATTGATCACACCCAACTATGCCCTCTAAAAAGGACTCTGCGGACGTTGCAAATATAGCCCGAGTATTATACCCAGGGTCGAATCCACAGAGAGTTAACCTATCAATCACTATCTTTAGACCCACTAAACTCTTTAGAACCAATTTCCCCAAATGTTTGAATCACAGTTGAAGGTCGCTTTACTAACTATGATTGCAAGTAAATTAAACAGCTGTAAATTAAAATGCTAAGGTTGTAAACAATGATGAGAAGAAGCTAAGGCAATGATTTCCCCTATTGAAGGAGTCCCTTCTGTTTATGCTCATACAAATTTACCAACACATCTCTATCAATCATGAACGCTCATCGTACCGTAAATCTCTCCCGAGTAATCACAGTAATATACTAATTGCACTCTCCCGAGATACACTAGCTTACTTTATTTCGCACAATTCACTTTAGATTACACCCAAAGCTTCGTTATCCCTAATCCCGCCTTTAAACCCGTAATTATAGATTCCTCTTATACTTTGGGAGTGGTGTTGTTCAACAATAACCTAAATATGCACTCTTTTCCAAGTTATACACACTAAATAGGCACAGCTAATTGAGGTTCCTGTCAATTAACTACAACAAGCACAAAGTTGAACAAATAGAGATTGAAACTAGCAATTTGTATTCACATAAACAAGATGTTCATCCCCCAATAGGTTCCATCAAAGCCTTAGACAAAGGATTTAGCTACTCATGGCTATGGGAAAACAAACTAAGATAGAATTCATCATAACTAGCAATAAAAATCAAAGAAAAGAAGAAAGATATTTTGGGTGATCTCTCACAATTGTTTTCCTTGCCAAGATACTCTAAAATTCAATACATGCCTCTCTTGGGCGAAGTCTCGTTTTTAAAATAGGGTTTAGGTCTAAAAATCCCGTGTTTTACACTTTAGTCCCTCAAGTTTTCTGCTTCCGCCGCGGTCGCGGTCAAACCGCGGCCAAATGCCTTCTCTGATTCTCAATTTATCCGCAGCTCTCTTCCACCGCGGTTCTACCGCGGTCGCGGTGGAACCGCGGTCAACCCAGTTCTCTGAATCTTCAGGGCTGTTTTGCGTGGTTTACTTGGGGAATTTCACAAATGGTCTCTTTTTCTTCATTTTTGACTCCAAAAGTACTCCCTAGCCTTCCCTGGTCATATATCACCTGCAAATCATGAAAAACACTAATAAGAGCATTTTGTTATCACTTTTATCATCAAAACTATACAAGAAAGTGGTTATTTAAGGCGTGATTATAGTTAAATTCACCTATTATCATCTATCATCAATTATTGACCAGTTTTTCTTTTGTTTGTTTATTCCCGTTGATAAAAATTTGTATGTTGCACTAAGTTGAAATAATTAAAGACAGATGATGTCAAAAAAAGTACAGAGTAGTGCAAAAAAAAAAAAGTTGGTGAGTAAGAAAGGACAATGGTTTTGATATAATAATCCAATTAAAATAAGTATGTTTGCAGATGAAACCAAAGAGACTTCAAAAGATAATTAGGCCAAATAGGAAAAAGAAAAAAGGAAAAAGAATGGTAAAAGTGGTTAGATTTAATTACCTTATCTGTAACCTTGCTGAGACCCTTGCTTAAGTTTGGAGTTTCAAACATTGTTTCATGAAATTTAACTTATGTTAGCAAGATTTCATTTTCTTTTTAGCTCTTTGGTGGTTCTCATTTATTAATAACTTAAGCTCTAATTGTCTTAGAATGCTCTTTGGTGCTTTTCACGAATAAATAATTTTTACTTATTTATTATCAACGTATTTTAATTTTTTTTAGTAGGTTACATGAACAACAACAACAACGAACCCAGTGTATTCCCATAAATAGGGTTTGGAAAGGATAGTGTGTACGCAGACCTTACCCCTACCTTATAAAGATATGGAGGCTGTTTTCGATAGACCCTCGGCTCAAGGCACAGTGAATATAAGGCAACAAGTAGCAAACCTATTTTGCAGTTTATTAAAATCACTTATTATAAACTACTACCTGTGTAGTTGGTATTTAAGATGAGTTGAGAGCGTAAATTGTTTTATTTTTTTTTATAAATTGTCAGTTTAGAAGGTAAACTAGAATTAATATAAATAATTAATATAATCAAGATTAGTGCTCTCAAATGAGTAGAATTTTAATAAAATATCATGCAGTCTTTTTCTGTAGTTAAAAAGAAATTACCCATACATCTTTCTTAACACAGAGAGACAAACACGCGTATATGTCACCCATTTCTTGTAGTGGAAACAATGTTTGCTTAAGATGAAATAATTTTTTTTTCAGTAATCATAACAATAAAAGGATTAGCTTATTTACTTAGCAATGACAATTGACTACGTAACCGGCCACCATTAATAATTTGCAGTCCTCGTGTTTTAAAAAAAAAAAAAAAAAAAAGCTCCAGTTTAGTTTAGTTGTTGAACTAGCGTTTATATAAACAAAAACGTCTTAAATGGGTCCTTAGTTTGAGAAATCAATTAAAATCCGTCTATAAATTGTATCTTTCTCTTCCTCATAGATTGAATTAAAACTCGACTGACTATGATGAAAATGACTCGAAGTTATATATCTTACAAGTTGAGAAGAAAGGAGAAAGAAATCATATAGTTTTTTTTTTTTTTTTTTTAACTCTTTTGAGCCTGTTTGGAAAGCCACCTTGGAAATGGATTTGGGTGTAATTGAGTGTAATTACACAGTTTGACATGTTTGTTTGGCCAAGTAATTACTTGGTCAGCATGGAATTGGGTGTAATTGGAGGGGTGTAATTACACTCTCCAATTTTCAAGGGGAAGGTGAGAATTGGTGGTAATTACATTGTGTAATTACAAGGTTGCTTTTTAGTTTCTTTACTTTTTATTTTTATTTTTATTTATTTTCTTTATAACTTTTTATTTCCATTATTTTAATTTTTTAATT